TTCTCTTTGAAAAAAGAAGGACGAATCGATTCTGGAAACCGTTGGGGTGCTGCCCTTTACTCAAGTAAGCGCCTTTGCAGATTTACTTTAGAAATTACTGATTGATTTCCTCAAGGCAAAAAAGGAGAGCTATCCAGAGTTTGTTGTGTCAATCATTGCAAAGTTTTTGAGGCCAAGCTCTGCCTCCATTGGCACCATTACAATATCTTTTGATACTCTTCTTTCTTTTTTCAAAGAGAATATTTCGCTCTTCATCAAATGCCAGTCATGTTCTCTCATTTTGCGAGTCTTTTTGGATTGGAAGCCATTTACGTTGCTGCCTGACTCGGTTTGTATCTTTGAGCTTATTTTCAGTTCTTTCATTCATACTCTGCTCAGCTGTTGTCACCCATATTGTGTATGAAGATCCTGGTCACCTATTCCACAAGTCCGGTGATCCAAGATTTTGCCATAAGATCACTATTGAAACATGGCCCTAATGTGAATTTTTTTTACATCCCCCAACTTGTCCAACTATTGAGACATGATTCAAAAGGTGCCCCTTTTACAAACATTGATGCCTAGGGATGATCAAGCAATTCATACTAGAAACGGCATCCATTAGCCAGCTATTTTCACATCAAATTATTTGGAATATGCATGCCAATTATTATATCGACGAGCAGGCCACCAAGGTACCAAAGTTGTTTGACATTTCCCCAACTTTAGGCTGATCCCTTAAAGTCAACCTTTGAGCAAATCACGCAAGAAATCGTCGATAAAATGCATGAAGAAGAGAAAAGGTTTTACGAAAGAGAATTCAATTTCTTTGAAAAAGTTACCTCGATCTCTGGCACTTTAAAGCCATTGGTAAAAAAGGCTAAAGAAGAAAAAAAGGTTCTTCAATCATTTGATTCTTATTATTAGGCAAAAATCGATGAAGAAATGAGCAAAATTACCGTAGATCCCGGTGTTTATTTGCCATCTTCGCCGGAATATAGACTGGTTGATATTTATCCCAAGTCCGGAAGGCCTCTTCAGTCGCATGCTAAGGTAAGTGCGCTAACTTTATTTGAGGCTCCCTTTATGGCAACGTTCAAAGTGGAAATCGAGTCGGAAAACGACAAGTCACAGATGATAACTGTTGACAAATCGGTTATTTTCAAAGTTGGAGATGACTGTCGCCAGGATGTTTTAGCTTTGCAAATCATTCGACTTGCCAATGAAGTTTTCAAGGAAGCACATCTTGGGTTGTTTCTTTATCCGTACAGGGTCATTGCTACCAATCCAGGGGTATTCTTATGCTCAAATCTTTATTTTTAGTGTGGAATTATCGAGGTCATTCCCAACTCCATTTCAAGAGATCAACTGGGAAGAGAGCAAATAAATAGTCTTTATGACTATTTTGTGCTGAAATTCGGGCCTGAAGGAACGATCTCCTTTGCCAAGGTAATGAATGCTCTTTTTATCGGCCTTAGGCAAGGAAGTGTTTTATTCAAAGTCTTGCTGCATATTCAATTGTTTCCTACCTTTTGGCCATCAAAGATCGGCACAATGGAAATATCATGGTCGACGATTCTGGCCACATAATCCATATTGGTATGTCAGCGTTTTCATCCAATTGCTAGACTTTGGGTACATTCTCGACATCTCGCCTGGAGGAATCAATTTCGAATCCGTTCCGTTTAAACTAACAAAGGAGATGCTACAATTGCTGGGAAACAGCACCGATTCTCCCTACTATCTGGAATTTAAAGAGCTGTGTATCAAAGCATTCCTTTCTTTGCGCCCATATGCTGATGAATTTGTCCAAGTTGCAGCCTTGATGTTGGAAAGTGGCCTACCTTGTTTTAAATATGGTTGACCATAGCTTTCTTATGTCGTAGGACCATCAAGTATAGCTAGGTTCAAGTCAAGATTCAAGGTTGACCTTTCCCTGTCCGATGCAAAGGCTTATGTGAATCAACTGATTTACAAATCCTTAGATAGCACACGCACAAAAATGTATGATGAATTTCAGCGTCAAACAAACTCAATCCCGTATTGAGTTGATGGAGCCAATAAATTTTGGAATGTTTATTTAATGGAAAGTGTGCGCCTAAAGTTATCTATTAAGATAAGCAGGGAATCCAATTCGTCCAATCTATGCTTGAATAAGTGATATTTCTGGAAGTAGATGGAGGTCTCATCGTCTCCAACTTGTTTTAGCGTTGCAGGAGGGCTGTGAAGTTCGAACAGCTGTTCTCCTTTATATTCCTTTTTCCGACATTTTGGACTTGATAGTAAATATGTTGGACCTCCTCCAAAGGAGGAATCACAGGAATCACAGGAATCATCCGAAAAGTCCTCTTCAGAAAATTTGTCTAGATATTGTACTATAGGATCCTTGAAACTAACAGATTTTATATTTGATGTCTTACTGGTACGTGTGCTTGGATAGTATGAATGCGAAAACCAAGATTCAGCTAGCGAAACACAATCTTCTTGCTGCTCGGCGATGTAGCCTTTGTTTTGAATAAAGCCCCTCTGTGATTCCGAAACATGGTTTGCTTTTTCCTTCGCGTTCGCTATGACGATATCGCTATTGATTCTGTTGCCTAGAATTTCATCTAAATCTTCACTTTGATTTTCATTGATATCTTTGATTGCGGATTTCCTTTTTCGATCCTTTGGAGACAGTATTTTCAAGCTTTTTTCGCCTCTCCCAGTTAAGAATCTGATCACTTTTTTGAATGTAGTTTCAAATAAATTTTGGCTTTTATTAAGATCTTCATAATAGTTTTTGCCATAGGCAGAAAAGAAGTTTGAATATTTGAAGATGGCAGATTTGTCTTTCTCTTCAACTGAATAAATTGTAGAAACCGGGCTATGCAGAACTTCGAATGTAGGATCATCTTTCTTTTCCTCCCAAAGTGAATTCATTTGAGAGTAAAATTGAGATTTACCGATTCATTAAATTCCAAAATATTGATTTCATCGAAGTGTCATTGGTTTCTTAATTAACAAATAGAATAAAGAATTTAATTTTATTTTTCAAATTTAAAAGACTACTCGGACGGTTCGTTTTTTAAAGACGAGCGACCAGCCCTAATGACTTCGTCTACCAATAGCAAGTTAGAAGCAATGGTGACACTACATTGGAATTAAAACGAATTAAAAAATGGTACCTTGAACTTATCATATGACGAAGCACTTTGTAGTTATCCCATATGCCTTCCAGAGCGGGATCGAGGATGGATCCAGATTGAAGATCAATTCCGGCCGACTTGTTCCCGGCAGAAATTTCATCTTGAAGCGCTACGAGAACGTCCTGTGCGTCAAGACCGGCGTTGAAACACAAGGTTTTCGGTATGATCAGAAGGGCATCTGCAAATGCTTGAACACCCAATTTGGGTTTTCCCAGAATCGAATCTTTAAAAGAGGGCGAGGTTAACGAGGCGTGTAACAATGCTTGGATACAACCGGCACCTGGAAGAAGAGATCTATCTTCAATGGTGTTTTTAACAGCCCTTAGTCCATCACGAATGGCATCATTAACTTGAGCCATCGAGTGGGCATTTGGCCCCTTAATGAGGATGGTGACTGATTTTGGCTTTTCCACCTGTTCGATGAAGGTAAATTTTTCTTCTCCAACTGACTGCTCATAAACAATACCAGCATATCCAAGCACAGATGGGGTAAGATCGTCAACCGAATTCAAGGCAGATCCACCGCAAAGTAGCGTCAATCTATGCAAAATTAGCATTTCTTCAAAGTACCGTTCCATGTTGCGACGTTTGGCTCTCCTTAGGGCCAAAATTCCGTGTTTTGCTAATACATCCAACGAAAGGGGGTCGATTCCCTTTTGACTAACAAGCACAAATCCACGCTTCTCGCCGGCTTCTTCACTACATACAGACTCCTTGAACTCGACGATCTTCTTCAGGCGATTATCGATGAACTTGCGCTCCGACTCGATTAATTTATCTCGCTGTTCAGCGGAGGAATAGAAAAAGCCGGAATTGACTTCACTAAAGAAAGCGAAAGGGAAAATACCTTTTTTCGTACTCGAGAGACACATTCAAGGTTAGAATAAACGCATTGCTAACCCGTTTGGGCATGTCCGGGTGGCGAGCTCCATGGTCCAGAACAAGTCCCACAACAAGTTTTGATTCGAAAATGGAATGGTGATACATCTTCATGATTTCGACCATATGCAGGTCAATGGAGTTGTTAAATCTTCCAATTGTCAGCACGGAGTCAACGATTGCAGGTGCCAACGAGTCGGCGAGATTTTTTGCCAATTTTGTGCTCAACGCAGTTTTTGCGACAGCCAACAGCGTTGCTCTATCCAAGGGATTTTCGAGAGTAATTTTGAATTGCTCTAAAAGACGAAGAGCCTCTTGCCTAGCAAGCTCAAATCCTTCCGTAATTGGACGGGGATGCACGCCATCCGAGACATATCTGAATGCCTGTTTAAGCAGTTCGCCGATTAGCAGAACATTTGATGTTGTGCCATCGCCAGTAATGTCATCTTGGGCCGTTGCTGCCCGAGCAATCATAGCAGCAGTGGCGTTTTGGAAGCTCATTTCGGATAACAACACCTTGCCGTCCTTGGTAGTTTTAATATCCCCGGCGCCAGAGACGAGCCTAGGGTAAGAAAATGGCGTGTGTACATTTTAAGGGTACCCTTTGGACCCAGGTTAGACTTGACCACTGTTTGCAGCCCTAAAGCAGAGTTGACCATCATAGAAAGTGCTTGTCCATGCCTCAAGACATCTGCATTGGGGTTAACAGACTGAATGGCAGACATCTCAGAATTAATGTAAAATTTATGCAAATTGCAACTTGTCAATGATGCATGAATAAAGTTTAATTTTTACGGTAATTTCGTTATGGCTGATCCGAGAGCGTCTCCTTCGGATTCTGGTTTGATAGATTATTGTTTACCGTAGAAACTGGACCAAGTGCCCCTCTAACTGATGCGACAACTATGTTTTCACACGGCATTCCATCTTCAGCCATCCCTTTTGCTGGAGCTCCAGTAATGGCTCAGCCCTATTTCCCTGGAATCCAATCAATGGAGCAGCTGCAACCAGGCTTCTCGTCAGCTCTTCCGGGAATACCGTTGATCCCACCCACTCCTATTGTTAATCCTGCGACTCTACTATCCTCCGTTGCTTCATCCACATCTCTACCTGTATATAATACTGGATTAACTACTGCCTCTAGCATGCTTTTACCATCTTCTTCCTCTTCCTCCTCATCATCACATGTTATACAAGCAGGTCCAGAGTTAAAAAGTGTCGATGTTTATTCAACTGATCCGTCCTTGATTTACAAGCCAGTTGAGGATCTAATGGGTGGTCAAGTCTCGACGACCGCTTTTATCGGATCTCTTTCAGATGGTGTCTCTGATGATCTTATCCAAAAGATTCTAGAGGTAAATATTGGGCGTCTAATTGGTTTAGTTTTGTGGACGAGTTATGAAGTGGAAGAGGCCATTGGATCCTTCGGGGAAGTTTAAGAGTAAGCGCGTTTTGAGGCTCATTGGACTAGGTTTTGGGTTTTGTGACTTTATGCAGCCCGATGGCATATTGAGGGCACTGAGGATCTTGTCACTGTTGCAGCTTAAAGGGCAGCAACTAACGGTTTCCAATATGCAGGTCCTTCTTACTCCTTAGGTCAAAGCTGACGAGAATACTCGGTCAAATTTGAATCGATACGAAGACACTTTGAAAACATATTTGAAATCGAGACCAAATATTCCGGTACCCGGTTTTTGATTTGACCATTTTAGAACCACACCGCTTTTGATGCTCCTGCAAGAGAGCAGATCTCTGAGCTTCTGAAATCGAAAAATATTCCTTTTTTCTGGAACGATCCAAATGCACCGCTTATGCCCCAGGTGGACGCTTCACCATCCGCAAAATCGGATCCCAGTAAGCTAAAGTCCGCCCCGAATGTACAGCCATCTGAGTATGACATTGAAAGAGATCTTGAAAGGTACCGTTTTTGCTTACATTTCGTAGTCGACGTAGGGCTTTGCGCGAACTTGACCGTCTTGCAGAACAGGAACAGGAGCGAAAAGAGGCTCAATACAAAGAGGTTTTTTATCTTCACATAACCCCGTGTAGCGTTTGAAACGGTGGAGAAACAAAGAGGACACCATTTCCCGAGACTATAACAGATTTCTTGAAGATGAACGCCGGGAAAAACAAAATCTGGCCTCTCTTCGGGCGGACCACGAGGCCGTAGTTAACCTACACCTCGATTACTCTACCTTTGTGGCAAAGGACCAATTTTTTCTGGATCGAAATTCTTGGCGTGCAAGCAGGGCTAGGCTGCTCTCAAAGGAACACAACCTGCTGACCGAAAATGATCTTTCATTCATCAAGTCAGAGATGGAAAAGATTCTTTCTCTTTCGCTTTTCGAAGATCGTCTTTACAAAAATACGGCAATTTCTTTACAGGGGGGATCCGCAGCACAGTCATCGAAGCATTCGCATTTTTATAAGGACGAGTATGAAGATAACGAGAGGGCCCCGTACCCGCGCCATCGACACAATTCTTCCAGCAAAGAACCTCGAGTCTCCATTTTAAAGCAAAAAATGGGCTTAAACCTTCCCGAGTGGCTTACAATTGATGAACTTATCGCCTCTGGAATGTCATCCGAAGATGCAACAGCAAAATCGAATGCCCAACAAAAGCATCGGTTGGAATTGCTCGCAAAGATCCTCCCCACTGATAGGTCAGATGTATTTCATTTTGATGTTTTTTGGCCGATTCTTGACAATGAAAAGAAATTCTTTTCCACCACTCTTCCCCAATGGCTGACCAAAAAACTTCCAGAGGTCATTGATTCGAAAACGGTGGATTCTTCTCCTTTTATTGAAGCCATTTTGCATTCCATCCGGACACACAAGAACCCCTTCAAGCTAGTAAGTGAGCTTACATTTCTCTTAGAAGGCGATAAGAAGGATAAATACCACTCCGATCGGGATGAAAGTGAAAAATCGTCTATTTTTATTCTCAAGCTCTGGAGATTTCTCATTTTGGAATCCGAGAGATTGCTTTTATCACGAGAATAAATTATTACACCCAAACGTGTCGGCTTTATTACTGCGCCCAAACGTGTCGGCTTTATTACTGCGCCCAAACGTGTCGGCTTTATTACTTTCCGAGCGATGATGACACCAGTGCCATTTTATTACTTTCCGAGCCATAAGGCCCTTCTTTTCTACTTAATGAAATCAAATAGTAGGAGGGATATAGAGAGGCAAATCAGAAAGATGGCCCCAATCTTAAAGGGTCCTTCTGGGTTTGCGCTTGCTTGTTGTAAACAGTCAAGGCCCCGTCCAATGTCATTCAAAGACAAGTGTGCCTCGTCAAAAATGGCGTCAACTGCAATAGATTGCACCTCCAAGTGCTGACCAAGCATCGATTGAAGGGCCGCTATGGCTTCTAATTGTCTTTGAGTAGCCTTTATCGTAGATATCTCTTCCTGGTGTATATCAAACGACTTTTCATAAGTCAAAGCTTGTGCGTTCGCCAAAATAGATGGACTCCTCTCAGTAATGCTTTCATCGTTTTGCAAGGAACCTTCAGGGACATTGGCACTGCTGTATTTTGGCGGACCTGTAAGGCTTGCGTTTTTATGTCCCTGTGCATACTTGGGAGAAGATAACCTGGCACTTTTGAGCTCCTTGCGAAAATTATCAAAAAATCTAGTTATTAGCGGATTTGAGGCCAGCAGATGATTACATTTTGGGTGCATTCAGCTCGGCTTCTCGGATGACTCGAAGAAAATCGGCAAGCGTGAAAAAGGCAGACACCGAGCGATGTTTGACAATGAGGGATTGTAGAGCGGAAGCAAATAGCCAAAGTCTGACATCTATTTGTTGGATCGCTAAAGAAAGCCTATTTTCGTCTTCTCCGCGCCGAAAAAAAGACTCCCAGATGATATCTTCCGGAAGCTGGATATAGTTGTAAAATTCACTTTCAAAATTGTCGGCCCAAATGGAAATGGCAAAAGAAATTTGTTTATCTAGCTTTTCTAATACCAATGACATGGACTCTTTGACTTTGTCTCGCTCGTCAAGAGATAGTTTAAGAGTTTCTTCGCGAGAAATCATCGAATACGCTCCAGAAATCGACACCATCGTTGAGTTGCACGTGTTTAGTTCTTTATCCTATGATGTCGATGAGAAAACTATAATATTACAATTTCTAATAGGGTTTCTCGAAAGGACAAGACCCATTTGGGCAGGGATTTTGAGAAATTATATTGTTCCGCAGAAGCCCCTCTTTTAGGGGAACATACTTGCTCAGATTCAGACACGAATTTGGTGTAAAGATTGAAGAACCTCTCCGAAACATCAGTCATGTTGACGATGAATTTTGTAAAACTTTAAATTTTACTGGATGAATTCTCTTTTCACATCATATAAACTCTTTAAGCCGTCCATTTATAGATGCTATCATTGGCATGCAAAATCCTGCTATTCAAATGCTGCTGCAGATTTTGTACATTCCAATTTGCTGGCTACATCTGTGGAGAATGTATGCTTTGTCCTTTATGCTTGTAGACTCGGATAAAGTTTCAAAGGAACATTGGAATTTCGGCACATATTGACAGCGGGAAAACCACTCTTACGGAAAGAATTCTTTTTTACACCGGCAGGATTAACGAGATCCACGAGGTCCGTGGCAAAGATGGTGTTGGTGCCAAGATGGATTCTATGGATCTCGAGCGTGAAAAGGGCATTACAATCCAGTCCGCTGCAACTTATTGCAAATGGAAGCACTTTAACATCAATATCATCGACACTCCAGGTATTTTTTGTATGATTTTTGCTCGCTTTTATTAATCGCTTTTGTTGGCCTTCTTTATCTTTAGGCCATGTTGACTTTACCATTGAGGTTGAAAGGGCCCTGCGTGTGTTGGATGCCGCTATTTTGGTCGTTTGCGGAGCCTCTGGCATTCAAGTTAGCCCATTTTAGCTATTCAAATAGAGCCAAACAATTACCGTCGACCGGCAGATGAAGCGCTACAATGTGCCTAGGATTGCCTTTATCAACAAGCTCGATCGGATGGGTGCTAAACCAATTGAAATTATTTCGCAACTAAAAACCAAATTAAAGCTGAATGCTGCGGCAGTTCAGCTTCCAATTGGCTTGGAGGAAGATCATCAAGGAGTGGTGGATTTGATTACAATGACGGGCCATTATTTTTCCGGCAAAAATGGAAGCGATGTTACTTCATGTCCAGCCGACAAGCTTCCAGAACCTCTGCGTTTTCAGGCATCGGCTTATCGCATGAAGCTTATCGAAGCCATTGCAAACGTCGACAATGAGGTGGCGGATTATTATCTTTTGGAAGAGGATCCACCGCAACACATTTTAAAGGTACTCCTTTTTTCATGCCATATTTGTAGGAAGCAATAAAAAGGGCAACAATTGAACGGAAATTTGTCCCTGTATTCATGGGCTCTGCTTACAAGAACATTGGAGTACAGCTTCTTTTAGATGGCGTTGGGGATTATCTCCCAGACCCATCTCAAGTCAAAAACTTTGCTTTCGATGACAAGGGCAACTCTCTTTGTTTGAAATGCAACTCTTCCGAGCAGACCGTTGCCTATGCGTTTAAATTGGACGATGGTCGCTTTGGTCAATTGACATACATGAGGGTCTACCAAGGCTCCATATCGAGAGGAGCATTGCTTATCAACACTCGCACAGCGAAACGTCTTAAAGTACCGCGGCTTGTCAGGATGCATGCGTCTGAGATGGAAGATGTTGACTCTGTTGGTTCTGGTGAAATTTGTGCAATATTCGGAGTTGATTGCGCCACAGGCGATACTTTTATTTCACCTACTGGCCCTGGAGACTCATCTACACTTTCAATGATTTCAATGAGCCCAATGCACGTGCCAGACCCTGTCATTTCTCTTGCTATTCGTCCCAAATTAAAAGACAATAGCGGATTCAGCAGAGCTCTTGCAAAGTTTCAGAAGGAGGACCCAACTTTTCGTATGCACATTGACCCTGAAACGCAAGAAGTTATTATCTCTGGAATGGGCGAGCTTCATTTGGAAATATATATTGAGCGGATGAAGAGGGAATATGGGTGCGAGGTTGTGACCGGAAAGCCACGAGTCGCTTTTCGCGAAACAATCAGAGAAAGAATCTCGTTTGACTATTTGCACAAGAAGCAAACAGGAGGAAGCGGTCAATTTGGAAGAGTGATAGGCTACATTGAACCCATCACTACGGATTGGAATGAAATATGCTCCAATTCTCAGTCTACAGACAAAACTAACACTGCCGAGGCCTTGGATGCATCCATGACTGCCGCTTCGATGAATACCTTGCTACCAAACGAATTTTCCAACCAGGTTGTCGGTGGCACGATTCCGCCACAGTTCATCCCGGCTTGTGAAAAGGGGTTTTATGAGTCATGCCAGGAAGGCCTACTTATCGCCCATCCAATTACAAATCTTCGAATGGTTATGCAGGAGGGTGCGTCACATATCGTTGATTCCAATGAGCATGCGTTCAGGGCTGCCACAAAAGCAGCTTTTAGAGAAGGTAATTTGGTTTTCTTTTTATTTGATCAGCATTTTTTGCTGCCTCACCGTTGATATTGGAACCCGTAATGAGAGTGACTGTTAGGATTCCTGCAGAGTTCCAGGGTTCTGTTGTGACAGGAATCTCAAAGCGAAAGGGAATCATCGTTGATTCGGATGCTCAGGAGGAGGGTACAAACATCATTGCGGATGTCCCTTTGAACCAAATGTTTGGCTTTTCGTCAGAGCTAAGGTCAATGACACAGGGAAAGGGCGAATTTTCAATGGAATACAAGAACCATATGCCTATCCTTCCCTCTTCTCAAGAAGATATTGTGTCTGAATATGAGAAGAATAGGTGCAAGCGTCGAGAATAGGCGCGAACTCCGAAAATAGGGATAATCAATTAATTGCATATTTCACACACCAATCATAGCGTTCCGACGATGATTATGTAGGAGATTTTATTGGCGTGGAGCAAGGTTTTAAATTAAAATTTAATGGGTTTTAATTTTATGTTAGTCTGTAAACACAAATTTGCTTGCATTTTTCTTTTGGCCTCCTTCATGGCATTTGTTCATAGTAACGGGGTTCGAGACGGGATTGATGGATTTTTCCTGACCAACGCACTAAATAACATTGCACATCATTTCCAAAATGTTTTAAATTCTTTATATGAGAATATTGAGATTTTCACGAGTGACTTTCCAAACGGTTTGAATATTCTTTTATCGAGGCTTGAGGCTGTTCTTGAAGATCCTTTGATTCATGAAGATGGATTTCTACCTCTAATGGAGGAGAAGAATAATATAAGTTGGAGGATTAAAGCTGAAAGCATCTTTTATATCAACATCTATATAATCATTCTTTTCTCGACCTTTTTGAAGCTAATCTGCTTTATTGAACCATGGACCCTTGCGTCTATTTTGCTCTTTGCCCCCCGCACTTCTAATAAGGCACGCAAAGCCACGGTACTAGCTCTAATTTCTTTTTTGTTCAATCCATTATTAACATCAATTTTTATCTTTGTGGGAATAATGATCTTGCTCAAGCTAGTATTTCCTAACCTTCCGTTCAGATATATGGACTTTATTGGCTATTTTCAAGATTTATACAAAAAAACTCCGTTTGAGTATTTTTTGGATCATATTTTCGGGGGCTCATCGATGGGAATTAGGATATTTTACATGGTCTTTACGTATCTTGTTCTCTCCGTGTTCGTTAAAGGGCTCAATTTTATGATGTTTTCATACTCTATTTCCAGACCATCAAAACGTAGCCGTCGAAAAAAAAACCGCGCTAGGATGCTTTCGGAATCAAAAATGCACAATTCTAATGATCCTCTTCAACTGGTGGTCATAAACGACACAGATAGCAATGAGATTAATACAGAACTTCCACTGGCCTCATCAACGGAGGAGAATGTTGCAGTACCGCCTGCTTCATCGATTGAAGAAAATGTCATATTGTCCTCTGCTTCATTATCAGGATTTAAGACATCTGGATATCTTAACCTGTTATACATAGTAATTGGTCCAATCCTTGCTCTGGTAATTTAATTAAATAAAATGCGATTTTTTGAATAGAGATGATGGAGGAGCCCATTGATGGGGACTTTGTCCCCATTCGTTTTAACACGGCCAACACTCAATGTAAAATTCCCTAGCATTAAAAGATAGACACAGCTATTCTCGACGAGATTAACAGCCTTTCGTCAAAGTCGATTTACGATAGTGCCTCTCTACAATTAACGAGTACTTTCCTGATGATTAACCCTTCCCATTATTTTGTATGGACTTATCGACGCCGAATTCTAGACTTTCTCTCAAAAACAAACGAAAATGCCTGGAAGGGAGAGCTCGAGTGGCTCAACCGGCTTACTGTCGAAGAGACTAAAAACTATCAAATATGGTGCATTTGGGGAGATTTTATTTGTAGGCGACATCGTGAGCTTGTTATTTGCAATTTGTCCGTAATTCCAGTGACAAAGGAGCTAAAATTTCTGGATGACGCTATTTTCGGCGGCCCAACGGGAGATCCCAAAAATTACCATGCCTGGGCATATAGGTTTGTTCGCTTCGCTAACAACAGAATTTGGCTCGTTACTCTTTCAGGATGCTTCATACCGGAATTGGTTTCATCGGGCAATTGGATTAAAAGAGATCCCTTCAATAATTCTGCTTGGAATTTTAGGGCCTTTTTAGTTCGCTCAATAATTAGCGATAAAAGTGTTTCCTTCGACCTTCAACTCGAAAAAGAGTATGTTATTGGATGTATCTTTTTTTATAGCTTTGTCGACACCGTAGCACCAGGAAATTCGAAAAACCCGAGTAGCGTATCATATTTGAATTTGCTATCCGAATTAAATGTTAAAATGTGATGAGAATCGTTACGGGGGCATGTAAACTCCAGGTTTGGGTAATTTACCAATTAAAACCTTACTGGATTAACCCTGGAGTATTCACACCCCCTACGATCATGATCGCGAATCCAAATTTGAAATTTAGGATTTACCAAAATCTGGTGATCACCATGCAAACTACGTGGCCGATAACTAGAGTCCCTATAATTCCATATAGTGGAAGCGCAAAGTTTACACCCGATAACTTGATATTCAAACTAAATTGTAGGGTGCCACTCTATGCATATTGCATGTGATAGTTATTGGTACTAATCCCTGGAAGAAGATAATGAGCACACACACACACAGACACACACACATACACACACACACACA